TTAATAAAATAATCACGTATTAAATACCTTGGGTAATAACCAGGATCCGGTTATTACAATAAAATTCTTTAAATTTAGAGAAGAGTAAGTAGATTACATATTTGCACCTTGTTGTTTTAAGTTTGTTTCGGATTTGGTTCTTAAAGTTTTTTAATTTCAAAATAGCCTCTAGAGTCTATGTTTTATAACATTTTTTATTGTTACTATTAGTAGCTGTTAACTCCCATTTGTGAGGGGAGTGGCATTTTGATTCTTTATCAATTTTTTGTTCTTTTCTCATTTAAATTCATGTTGTATAATTTTATTATCATACTACATATACATACATATGAATATAGGCCTATATCGGTTGACCACTTCATGTTCCCCTTCAGGGACCTCATCAGCAACGACCTTAACCATCCTCCTTCCCCTTTCATTACACTCCGACCAGGATTACATCTTCTCCCTCCCTAATTGCACCACTACTCCCAAGACCTCACCTAACTTTCAACTTCTCCCTAACCTACTACTTTTCCAACTTTAAACTCACCTTCAGTGACCCAACACCTACAACGATCCAAGCCCTCACCTCACCTTAAGCATCCCTTGACCAACTACTTTGTTAGCCCCCTCAGTTCACACTTCATCCAATGAATCAAAAAAACCTCGATTTTGATTATGAATAACTGATCAAACGACACTTCATGACTCACAATATCCAGCTTTATTTCCAATCGTCCTAGTGGAATAACCCAATTTTGATAGGTTTAGGCTTTTAACGTTGTGTTTTGAGGACTAGAGATTGAGGCTAAGCCGAAGATAGAGGCCATTGAATCAGTGGTGGCGATTGGATTTAGGTCAGCTGGATTTTGGTGACAACGAGGTGCAAGTGAGGAGGAAATGAAGGTGAAAGTGAAGGGAGGAACCTATGTGCCACAGTCGAGGAAGAAGGGGAGGAGAAAGATGAACTGAAACGGAAAGGGGTGGGTGATCATCGGAGATACGTTTGCTGCTGGAGATAGAGTGATCGTTAGAAATGAGGGTGAGCGCAAGAGAAAGGAATGATAAGTGTGTGTATGTGGGGAGGGAATTGTTTAATGCTCAAAGAACAAAAAAGGAAACAGTAAAATGAAAAAGACAAAAAGATTAAAAAGAGGAAAATCTCTCACCTAGCATATTAGAGTTAATAGCCGATAGTTGCAAGGACCAAAAAGTTACAAAAACTCAAACTCTAGGGGGTAATTTGAAAAAAAAACAATAGATATCAAATACAAGACCAACTTAAACCCACTAGAACCAAACCAATAAAATATTATGTATCTAAAATTTTGAGGTAAGGAGAGATAAATTATTATTATTTTATATGATTTTTTAAAAGTGTATTTAGATGATATATTCTAATAATATAATTAGTGTTGAAAATTTTAAAATAAGGAATTTGTTGAAGTTGAATGTTATTTTTTTTTTTAAAATTTTAAATTTTGGATTTATATTTTAGAGATATTACAAAGAATTTCTTGAAAATGCTCTTAATATGATTCCTCATAAAAAATTCCATAATTTATGGAGTACTCTTCCGTATTTGTAGATTGAACATTTGTCATGTATTTATCAGATGATTTGTGAAGTTTAAGGCTGTTTGTTTACCTCTCAATAGCTCTATTAAAGCAAACTTCTAAATCGGTCTGAGGCAAGTGTTGTTTGGCAATAGAGCCTCTGCATTCTTCATCCTTTTAAGCCTTGCCTTATCATTCAAAGACAACATCTTCCACTATCACCCTCCTCATATGCTCTGCATTTACAAAACTCCAGACCCATGACATACATATAAATTAGACCAAGATGATAAAGGTACAGAAACACAAGCCAAACTTGTCTTAATTTAATATTGAGTATGATAATCGGGTATTCGGATATAAAAGTTCGGGGTGATCTTTGAAAGGTGATGGTAAGTGGAGGAGTTTAAATTGATTTATGTGC